TATTGTGGATCTTTCAGATCTTAGCATGTTTAACGAGATCTGTTTTGCTGCCTCATCTATTTCTCCCGAGTTCCTGTGGCATAAAAAGCTAGGTCATGTCAGCCTTGGAAAACTTGCCACCCTGTCCAAACTGAGTCTAGCTAGAGGTATTCCCAAACTTAAAGATAAAGCTGAGTTCTTTTGTAATGCATGTGCTGCTGGAAAACATAAACGAAAGAGTTTCAAAATTAAGCCTGACATTACCTCTACCAGCCCTTATGAACTCATACATATGGACCTGTTTGGTCCATGCAATGTTACCAGTCTAGGAGGGAAGAACTATGTCTTTGTTTTAGTGGACGATTTTTCTAGGTTCTCATGGGTGTATTTTTTAACTCACAAAGATGAGACATATAAAAAGTTCAAACTGTTTCTTAACTCTCAGAACTTCACTGTCAAAAACATCAGGAGTGACAATGGTGGAGAGTTTATTTCAGAATCATTTGAAATCCTTTGTGATGATTTTGGAATAAAACACACCTTCTCTGCCCCACGTACCCCTCAACAGAATGGAGTAGTGGAAAGAAAAAACAGAACTCTAATAGAGTGTGCTAGAACCATGTTACTCGACTACAATCTTCCTAAACACTTCTGGGCTGAAGCTGTTAACATAGCTTGCTACACTATCAATCGTGTCTTGGTTCGTAAGCAAATTAACAAAACACCCTATGAGATATTGAAAGAGAAAACTCCTAGCATTGCTTACTTTCATCCTTTTGGTTGTCCATGTTTTGTACTTAACACTAGAGACAACCTTGGTAAATTTGATGCTAAATCAGATTCTGCCATCTTCTTGGGATACTCGTCCGAAGGTCAATCTTACAGAATATTCAATAAAAGAACCAAAAAAGTAGAAGAATCAGTTCATGTTAAATTCAATGAATCTGATTTTGTGATACCAGATGAGACATTACAATTTGATTTAAATGAACTGACCTCACCTTGCCAAGATGATGTTAGTAAACAGGATCATAATGAGACAGTGGGTGCATCATCAGACATGGAAGAGCCTTCTGTCGAAAGTCAAATCACTCTTCAAGTTCCTCAAGCTCCACCTCACATCCAGAAAAGGCATCCAGAAAATCTGATCATTGGAAAGCTGAATGAGGGACTCAAAACCAGAGGTAAGTATACTCCTGGTCAATATGCATTTGTTTCTCAATTTGAGCCTAGGAATATTAAAGAAGCCTTACTAGATGAAGAATGGGGATTCTCTATGATAGAAGAACTAACACAATTTGAACATCTTCATGTCTGGGACTTAGTTCCTAAACCTGAAAACATCACTGTCATAGGAACAAAGTGGATTTATAGAAATAAGTCAGATGAAGAAGGAATTGTTGTTAGAAACAAATCTAGGCTAGTTGCTCAAGGATACCTTCAGGAAGAAGGAATAGATTTCGATGAAACGTTTGCTCCTGTTGCTAGACTAGAGTTAATTAGATTATTATGTGCTTTTGCTAGCCACCTAGGTTTCCCCCTTTACCAAATGGACGTCAAAAGCGCTTTCTTGAATGGAGTCATTCAGGAGGAAGTTTATGTTGCCCAACCCCCTGGATTCATTGACTTTGAGCATCCTGATTATGTTTACAAGCTAAATAAAGCGTTGTATGGACTCAAACAGGCCCCTAGAGCCTGGTTTGAACGCCTTACAACCTTTCTCTTAGAAAACTCATTCACTCAAGGAAGCATTGATAAGACTCTTTTTATCAAACATGAATCAGGACAAATTTTATTGGTTCAAGTTTACGTAGATGACATTGTTTTTGGGTCAACTGACCCCTCTCTATGCACTACGTTCTGTGAAACTATGCAGTCTGTATTTGAAATGAGCATGATGGGTGAACTAAAGTTCTTTCTTGGACTTCAAGTAAAACAGACTAAAGCTGGAATTTTTATAAACCAATCCAAGTACCTCCAGAACATGCTATCTAAGTTTGACATGAACAATGTTAAGCCTTGTCCTACCCCAATGGCAGTAAACCTCAAACTAGATAAAGATGAGTCAGGTGTACCAGTAGATAAAAACAGGTATAGAGGGATGATTGGTTCATTACTTTACCTTACTGCCAGTCGACCTGACATCCAGCATAGTGTATGTCTGTGTGCCAAATTTCAAGCAGCACCTAAGGAGAGTCATTTTAAGGCTGTCAAAAGAATATTTAGGTACCTTAGAGGAACTCCAGAGGTTGGCCTTTGGTATCCTAAACAAGGTGCTGTTGCCCTTTCTACCGCTGAAGCTGAGTACATAGCTGCTGGCAGCTGTTGTACTCAACTTGTTTGGCTTAAGAATCAACTTAAAGACTATAATGTGGCAACTGAATCCATTCCACTCTTCTGTGTCAACACTAGTGCCATATGTATTTCAAAAAATCCGGTCCAGCATTCAAGAACTAAACATATAGAAATTAAATATCACTTTATAAGGGATTTAGTTCAACAGAATATCATCCATATTAGTCACATCCCCACTGAATACCAACTGGCGGATCTTTTTACAAAAGCCTTGAATGCTGATCGATTCACCTTCCTTTGTTTTGAAATTGGATTAAGATCTCCAGATCATCTGGAGGATTTTAACTGATTTCTCGGCAAGTCTTTCCTTTCTTTTCTTTCCTGTTTTGAGTCTTGTGTGTTTCTTCCTATTTTGGTGTGTTCCTCTTGTGTTGTGTCTGCCTATTTAAGTAAGTCGAGTTAAGCCTCTTGTTTGCCATTCAATTCTTTTGCTCTTAGGGTCTTAGTTAGTAGCTGCAATGGTTCTAGGGTTCTCTCTCACGTATACATGTACACTCTTTCATGACCCAATTCCTGCAAACTCTCATCGCCATGCTGTTTCCTTTGCTCGTCGTCCCATCATCCCCACTTATCATGTCCCTTTTCCAGATCTTGTTGAATTTGGTCTAGATGTCTCTCAATATCTTCATAACCTAGGATGGGATTTTCTTATGGCTGATCCTGTTGAGTATGTCTGTCCTGAAGCAGTTCGACTGTTCTACTCGAACTTTCGTTCCTTTGGACTACACACTCGTACCTTCACCACCCTAGTGTATGGTCATCTAGTTACTATCCCTCTTGAATACCTTCGTAATCTTCTGAATATTCCTAGGGTAGGAGAAGTACTTGCAAATGAGACTGAGCTGATCCACTTCAATTTCAACATTGAACATGAGTTTGTTCATCTCACAGGACACACTCCTGATGCCCTGCTCACCCTTCCCTCTGCATTCTTACTACCCTCCCTGCGTACTTTTCACTTTCTTCTCACTCGTAGATTTCTTCCTAGAACTGTGCTGCTTGATAGGGTTACTCCCCTAGATCTTTGGATTCTTGCTCATGCCACTGCCAATGTTCCTCTGGACTACTGTCATCTATTGTTTGGCGGGTTATACCCCTTTCAACAGTTTGAATTTCTGGGACATCTCCCTTTTGCTCCTCTCATTACCCGTCTCATTCTTCGCCTTGGGATATCTCTTGATCCCTTTCGTACCACCACTCCAAATGTTTATCTGACTGCGGATGATATTCTTGATGAGATTGCGGATGACATCGTTGAGGGGGAGGATGATGCAGAAATGGAGGAAGAATCAGCTGAGGAAGAAGCTGAGGAGGAACCTGAAGATGAAGAAGGTTCTGAAGAAGATTTCGAGGAAGGTGACAGCCCTGAGATAGATGTTAACTGGATTAGCAGCGATGATTCTGACTCAGAGTCATCTGACTCCTCTGATCCACCCCCTCTGGAAGAAGTCTTTGTTGCCCTGCAGGACCTTCAGGACCTCTATGGTTCTGATTAGGCTGTGCTTTCTTAAAGTACTAACTGTTTTCTTGGTTTGTTGGACATGTTTCTCCAGCTGAGAGATTCTCTGAATAGTCGGTTTTGTGTCGGTTTGCCGGACGTGTCTCACCAGCTGGTTGGATTGTTTCGGTCTGGTTTGTTGGTTCCTGGTTCTTGAATGTTTTGGTTGATTGATGTTGAGTCTATAGTCAGTTCAGAACTCAGTTTTCTGTGAATGCCATCGTTGTGTTGCTTTGGGAAAGGTATTTGCTCTTGCTTGCAGGTTTCAACGAGTCAATCAGCAATCATCAACTTAGGGGGAGATTGTTAGACTAAGAATCGCATCGGATCAAGTTGACAGATTGGATTGAAACAAAAGATGGAAAGAAGATCAAAATCATTGCATCAATCAAGGGGGAGCCTCTCCAATCAACTCGTTCAACCATTCAAATCACAACGGCTACCCAGCAAAGACCCAGCAAGAAGACTATTTATACTCCTTCTCTTCTGATCTTGTGACTTGATTGTTTGAGGAAATTCTCTGTGGTATAGGGCTGAGAATTGGGGAAACAGTGGCTTTGATCTAACTGAGGTATAAGATCAGTTTGATCAAAGGTTGTAACGAATTCCTGCGCGAATTCGAGTCTAGAGTCGTGCCTTTTGATTTTCACATTTGCTGTAATCTCTTCGTTCTCTTCTTCTCTTCAGAGTCAAAGAAAATCAAAAGTGTCTCTCGGAATAGTGGGTACTATTCCGGGACGAGGAGTAGCCCAGTGGCGAACCTCGTTAAAAATCTCGCTGTGTTCATTTAGTTTATGCCGCTCTTCTTCTTGCTGGTGCTGCAGTACTCTGTTCTGCAGTGCTCTGTTCGTGTTCTGGGTTGAGTCAGGGAAGAAGAAGATTATTCTTCACTCCTGTTCGATCAGAATCCTTGGGCCGGAGAGGAAGGCTGTAGCCCAGTAACTTTCCTTTGGTTAAGTTGTGGGCCTAACTAGTCTCGGGCCCAATTCCATTACAAAGGAGATCGACTTAGCCTCCTGTCGATCTCTTCCTTCCAAAATTCCCAATTCGACAATTCCAAATCCCTAATCGAAGCCGGCTCCGCCATTTTCACATGTCTCTCTCCCACTCTTTAATTTCTTGAACAGCAAGAACAAGAACAGTAAGAAGAAGAAGAAGAAGAGGTCGCATGGCTGGTGATAACAAAGTCAACCTCAATGAATCCAAGGTATCTATTCTCTTCCTTCCTTCCTTGTCTGCTCTATCTCCATAGCTTAGGATTCTAAATCCAAGCAATGATTTTCCAGTTATGAAAGGAATCTGTGCAGCCACATGATTCAAAGCTTCTGTTTTGTTGGCTGGGGCAGAGGGTGGTTCCGCTCAACATTTGGGTACTAATCTCCAACTTCAAGCTAGCGTACAATCTCCGCCGCCGCCTCGATGGCTCATTCAACCGCGACCTCGCCGAATTCCTCGACCGCAAGCTCCCGGCCAACACCATCCCCGTCGACGGGGTCTTCTCCTTCGACCATCTCGATCGATCCACCGGACTTCTCAACCGGGTGTCACGCCCTGGGAGATGAGAAGACTTGGCAATGGAGGAAATCTCGGTGAGAAGGAAGTAGAAGAGAGGGGAACAGAGATGAGAGAGAGAGAAGAGAGAGAAGGGAAAGTGAGTTTGTTATTGATCAGCTGAAAAGTAGTTACAACGGTCCTGGCGCCTTTCCTTTATACTGCTAATACAAAATTACCACTCCACTCCCTCAACTTCTAATCCTATACAGTTTAGTCCGCTCGTTACAACTCCCCACTTCTTCACTGAAAGCTTGTCCTCAAGCTTCAAAGTCTGGAAATCGGCCATGAAATTCAATCCAATTCTCCCATGTAGCATCCTCCTCGGTCTGGTGAGACCACTGCACCAGTACCTGTGTCAATGGTTTGTTATCCTGAGCTACAACTCGCCTAGCTAGAATCGCTAAAGGAGACAACTTGAGAACACCCTGATCATCCATGACAGGTAATGTTGGCTGGACCTGCAGAGCATCTCCCACCCTGGCCTTCTTCAACAGTGACACATGAAACACAGGATGGATGGCCGATTCAGCTGGCAACTGTAGCTTGTAAGCGACTGCCCCGATCTTCTGTACAATAGGAAATGGGCCAAAGAACTTGGGAGCCAGCTTCTGATTGACCCTGTTTGCAACCGAAGTTTGGCGATAGGGCCGCAGCTTGAGATAGACCAAGTCACCAACCTGCAGTGTCCTCTCAGTTCTGTGGGCGTCAGCCATCTGCTTTTGTTTATTTTGAGCCTTGGCCAAGTTCTGGCGCAAGATATCCACCAACCTATGCTGCTGCTGCAACCTCTCAGCCACTGCTGCCACAGGAGTGGAAAGGGGGTTTTGGATAGAGAAATGGGAAGGAGCATACCCATAAAGAGCCTCGAAAGGAGTGAGCTGAAGACTACCGTGGAAATTGATATTATACCACCACTCTGCTAAGGTCAACCATCCAAACCACTTCTGGGGACACAGATGTACCATTCCCCTCAAATATTCCTCCAAACATCGATTCAATCTCTCTGTCTGACCATCAGTCTGAGGATGGTAGGCAGTCGAGTAATGCAGCTTCACCCCCTGTAATTCAAACAGTTTAGTCCAAAAAGAGCTTGTGAATAAAGCATCTCTATCAGATACTATAGTAGCAGGCATGCCATGTAACTTAAACACCCCATCAAAGAATACTTGAGCCACTGTCATGGCTGTGTATGGCTTGGAAAGACCAAAGAAGTGCCCATACTTGGAGAATCGATCAATCACCACCAATATAGCATCTTTGCCACTGGAACTAGGCAAACCCTCTATGAAATCCATAGAGATGTGCTTCCAGGCTTGATCAGGTATAGGGAGTGGTTGGAGCAACCCAGGGTAAGGGATGTTTTCAATTTTACACTTCTGACAAACTTCACAAAGACTGATGTAATTCTTCAGATCAGCCTTGAGACCAGGCCACCAGAAATACCTCCTCAGTCTCTGATAACTGGCCTGCACCCCATAATGACCACCCACTGGTGAGTCATGGAACAATTGCAACAACTGTTTCCTCATTTCCCCAGTACTTCCCACATAAATGGCCAACTTATGGTAGAGCAACCCCTGAGAAAACCAGTACAGCTTAGGACCAATGAAGGGCACAGCAGCTTCTGCAATCAACTGCTGGCAACCCTGATCTCCCTCATAGGTAGACTCCAACTCCCCCAGCCAAGCTGGTAACACAGCTGTAATAGGACAACAGTTACCTGGACTAACCATGGAAGTGATAAAGCTGGGATGTCTTGAAAGGGCATCAGCTACATGATTAAACTTGCCCTGTCGATATTGAATTTCAAAATCAAGCCCCAACAGCTTCACCAGACCCTTCTTCTGAATCTGAGTATGGATTTTCTGCCCTAGGAGATGTTTTAAGCTCTCATGATCAGTCACTATCTTAAATTGCCTGCCCTCCAAATAATGGCGCCACTTAGTCACTGCCAAAATAACAGCAAGGTACTCTTTCTCATATGTAGAGAGTCCTTGTTTCCTAGGCCCCAGTTGCCTGGCTGTGATAAGCCAAGGGCCTACCTTCTTGTGAGAGGACAGCACCAATACCCATCTCACTGGCATCTGTCTCCAAAACAAACTGCTTAGTGAAATCAGGCAGGGCTAGGACAGGAGCAGTCACCATGGCCTGTTTGAGGGTCATGAAAGCTGCCTGAGATGATTCAGACCAGGCAAAGCTATCCTTCTTCAACAAGTCTGTAAGAGGCTTCCCAATCACACCATAATTCTTGACAAATTTCCTGTAATAACCTGTAAGACCAAGAAACCCACGCAGTTCCTTCACATTTCTTGGTACTGGCCACTTGACCATGGCATCTATCTTGACTAGATCTGTGGTAACCCCTTCCTGATTAATTATGTAGCCTAAGTAGTCAATCTGAGTCTGACCAAAAGCGCACTTTGAGGGCTTGGCATAGAGAGTATTCTCCCTTAACACACACAGAGCTGTTGCCAAGTGCTGTTTATGGCTCTCCTGATCAGGGTTGTAGATTAAAATGTCATAAAAAAACACTAGAATAAACTTCCTGAGGTAGGGGCTGAATATCTGGTTCATCAATGCTTGGAAAGTGGCAGGAGCATTGGTGAGGCCAAATGGCATCACAGTGAACTCATAGAGGCCCTGGTGAGTTCTGAAAGCAGTCTTGTGCTGATCCAAGGGGTTCATCCTGATCTGGTGATACCTAGAAAGCAGGTCAAGCTTTGTAAAAAACTTAGAACCCCTAAGTTCATCCAACAAATCATCAATGACTGGTATAGGGAACTTATCTTTTATAGTAAGATCATTCAACTTCCTGTAATCAACACAGAATCTCCAGGAACCATCTTTTTTAAGCACCAACAACACAGGTGAGGCATAAGGGCTTCTGCTAGGTTGAATATACTGAGCAGCTAACATTTCCTTCACCAACCTATCCATTTCATTCTTTTGAGGAATTGAATACCTGTAGGGTCTGAGGTTAACAGGTTGTGAGTTTGGTTGCAGTGGTATGGTGTGGTCACAGTCCCTTGATGGTGGTAGGGACTGAGGTTTACCAAAAACATCACTGAACTCTTTCAGTACTGAATCCAAAAATGCAGGAGCTGGATTCTTGTCACTGCTTTTACCAGACTCCCCATCCAGTTGGTTAAGCACTTCTAGGCTGCACAGTTGACCCACAAAAGCAATCTCTGAACGGTTCCACAACTTCTGCAAACTCTTGCCAGATATCAATTTACACTGAGCAATATCCTGAATACCCTGCAACACCACTTCCTGACCTTCCCAATCAAAATAGAGCTTCAAATCCACAAAATCAAACTTAACCGGGCTGATGGTCCTGAGCCAGTCCAACCCCAAAACTGCATCATTGGATCCTAAGCTAAGGATTCTCATGTCATACTGGAATACTCTACCTTGCATCTCCCAGCAAAATCCTTTGCAAATCCATTGGCTGAGGAGCACCGTGCCATCTGCAAGCTTGACCCTCAGGGGATGACTGGCAGGCACGAGTTGACAATGGAGCTCCTTGGCCTTCCTTTCACTGAGAAATGTGTGAGTACTGCCAGTGTCCAGCAGAATATAAATCTTCTCCTTCTTCACCTTACCCTAAACGATGAAGGAGCTAGCCAGACCACCACTATTGAGGGCCTGCATGGAGACTTCTTCTAACTCAGTCTGCTCTATCTCAGCACCCGGATCCAACACCTCTTCCTCATACATGCCATTACTGTCATCAGGAATGTCCTCTTCACTACCAGCCTGAAGCACATTGAGCTGTTTCTTAACTCCACACACATGCCCAAAGAAATAACGATCCCCACACTTGTAACATACACCCCTAGCTCCATTATTCTTCTGTGGAACCACAGGAGACTTAACCACCCCTGCTGTTCGAGTAGGAGGTCCTTCCCAACGACGAGGAGTAGCAGAAGAGCTGCTTGGAATGACAGTGGTTCTACCAGAATTCCCTTGACCCCCACGCCATTTCTTCTGGTGAGCCAAATTAGACTCTTCCTGCAATTGAGCGAGTTGGAACGCATCCGCCAATGACTGAGGCTTCCACATATGCATCACCGGCCTCAATTCTTCATCCAAACCGCTAATGAAGCTGCTGATGAAGTAGATTTCATCCAAGGCTGGATTAAAACGTGCCATTAACGAACACAATTCCTCGAATTTCTCCTGATAGTCCGCCAACGAACCTCGCTGCCGGAGTTTGTTGAACTCAGCCACCACGCCGCCATAAGAACGATTACCAAAACGCTGGCACAGCGCAGCCACAAATTCTTCCCAAATCAGCTCAGGGCGCCCAATCTTCCAGCCTTCGAACCAAAGGTCTGCTCGCCGCTGGAAGTAGATGACCGCGAGATTAACCTTCTGGTCCGTCGGAATGGAGTAGATCTCGAAAAGTTTCTCACACTTCCGCGTCCATTCACGCGGATCCTCGCCATTGAAAGACGGAAAATCGAGACGAGGAAGTTGATGAAGGTGACCTGGGGCTGGAGCCTGAAATTGCTCCCGCTCAACTGCACGAGGAAACGGAGCTGGAGCCCGGGGAAACTGCGCCATGGCAGGATCAACTCCTCGAAAACCTTGAGGCGGTAGCGGCAGAATGCCTCGGCCCCCATTCCGGTCCACCAGCGGCGCCGCCGCACCAGCAATGGGACCCGGTGGCCGTGGATTCACGAACAAGTGGAGCATCTCACGGATCTCCGTCGTGAAATTGGCAAAACGATCGTCAAAGCGGTCTTCAAGTTCGGTGAAACGAGTGGCCGTACCTGCTTCCATGGAATCGAGACGAGCTGTGAGATTGACGAATTGCTGCGAATGGCCATCGGCACGAGTCACCAATTCCTGAAATCGAGTTGCCTGAGAAGTAATCTTGGCGTCCAAATCGAGCTGAGCTTGTGATGTCGACGCCGCGAGGCCAGCAAGACGATCATCAATCGATCCTCGAGTCGCCGTCATGATGAAAGGAGCCAAGTCGAGGCTCTGATACCACCTTGTCACGCCCTGGGAGATGAGAAGACTTGGCAATGGAGGAAATCTTGGTGAGAAGGAAGTAGAAGAGAGGGGAACAGAGATGAGAGAGAGAGAAGAGAGAGAAGGGAAAGTGAGTTTGTTATTGATCAGCTGAAAAGTAGTTACAACGGTCCTGGCGCCTTTCCTTTATACTGCTAATACAAAATTACCACTCCACTCCCTCAACTTCTAATCCTATACAGTTTAGTCCGCTCGTTAAACCGGGTCTACCGGTCCCAATCCCGATTGGATCCCCCAATCGACCTCCAGAACCCACTCAGCACCGCCGCCGTCGTCCCCTTTTTCGTCTTCTTCCACGGCGGAAGCTTCACCCACTCCTCCGCCAGCAGCCCGATCTACAGTGACGGATCCAGGGGGTGGCCACCCCTGGCCCCGGCCCAGCCCTCCTCTGGATCCGTAGTTAGTATAGTCCTTATGAATTTTTCGATTTTAGGCATTCGACTTAGTGTGATTTTATAATAAAATTGGGTATAACTAGAAAAATGATTTAGATGACCATATTCAAATCACTACTCTAAATTTAGCCTTTAAATCTTAGCCCCAAAGATTATGTGTATAAAAAAAACAATGAAACCTAAAATTCTAAAAGTTTAAAACGTAAACGACTAAAAGAAATATGAGGTTTGTTCCCTTGAAAACTTACTAGAGCAGTTGGTGGATGCAGGGATTGACACACAATGCCAATTGATTAGTTGATTGATTTGTCTAGTGTTGATGCTGCTCGTTTCAACAACTACTACGAAGAGAACCTTTTCAACAATCAAACATGTGAGAACTTATTTGCTCAACAAAATGAGCGATGAATTTCTCGCCGATTGCTCAAGTATTTTATTTGAAACAGTGTATACTATTGGTATGGATGTAGGCTCCATTATTGATGCATCACTAAATTAAAATACCGTCGTGTACAATTTACATTGGAAAAAAACTATAATTATTATGTTTTTATACTATTCAATTTTTTAATGAAACTCGGCCCAGTGCTCTTATGTGTTCTGGATCCGCCGCTGCCGATCTAAGACACCTTCTGCCGTCGCCTCTTCTTCCTCTGCGACGGCACCGTCGTCGTCTCCGTCAATTACCGCCGCTCGCCGGAGAACCGGTACCCGTGCGCCTACGACGATGGGTGGGTGGCTCTCAAGTGGGTCAAGTCCAGGTCGTTGCTCTGTAGCGGTGAAGGCCGCCGAAGCTGGGATTCCGATACTGGGCAACATCCTGCTCTACCTGATGTTCGGCAGGGAGGCGAGAACGGAATCGGAGAAGTGATTGGACGGGAAGTACTTTGTGACGGTTCAGGATAGGGATTGGTATTGGAGAGCCTTCTTGCCGGAAGGGCAAAACAGAGATCATCCGGCGTGCAACGTGTTCGGACCCAGAAGTAAGGAGCTAGAGGGGATGAAGCTGCCCAAGAGCTTGGTGGTGGTGGCGAGTTTGGATCTGATTCAGGATTGGCAGCTGTCGTATGTTGAAGGCATGGAGCGAGCTGGGAATCAGGTGAAACTCATTTTTTTGCAAGATGCTACGATTGGGTTCTACTTCCTGCGTAATAATCAGCACTTCCACTATCTGATGGATGAGATTAAGAACTTCTTCAGTACCCCCTAACTAATGTAATGTAATGTAAAACCACTTATGCTACTACTACTAGTTGTTATTCCTGCTGTCAAAACTGGTATTACAACTATGGCTACGAATCTATATATCAGGGCTCTCTTACATTTGCAGGACACACCTTGTTTTGGTTGGGCAAGTAGAAGAAGAATATACAGGACTGGTTAATTCTGCGTCCTATGTCCTTTGAAGATCAGCATCCAACTTCTAGCAACCGAAAGCGCTGCTTCTGTACGCGGCTAAGAGTTCGTGGCCTTGCCCGAACTACAGCCTCTTCAGTACTGGAATTCCGAGGAGCAATTCAACTTGCTGCTTGATCGAAGATTGTGGGACCAAACAGAAGGGAAAGCTCGATTCTTTGCAGAACAACCCACACTATTCATGTCCTCCGCGTTATTTTTCTGGCTTCTGCAAAGTTTGATGACGTCTGGACTCTGGATCCTGGAATCTCCAAACGAATATAGATTACACAATTTTCTGCAGCCGGAAAAAGATCAAGGATCGGACTAGCGAACTGCACAAGCATAGGCGCCAAGTCATGTATGAATAGTTTGAAACCATGAACATCATTCTAATAACCTGCTGACATGTCCTTCCAATGCTCAAACATCCATGTACTTAAATTCTTTTCATTCTTTACATTCTCCGTCGATCGTTTAGCTGCAGCTTATCTGGGTCCCTACTTCCATACTCACACTCCCAAACTGCCCTCTTGCTTCCTGTCAAATAATAGAACAGATCATATGTAATCACTTTTACAGAAACAACCTTGATGCCTAGGGGTCAGATTGCTATTCCCAGGACGTAGTGACTAGTGAGGGCCATTTAACATGGATCGATCCAAGAGGTGAGGTAATCGTTCTAGGTTCCCTACTTCGCGCGAAAATCAGCATAGAGGACATAGGGTAGAGTGTCTATTACTGTTACACCTCCACCCACCAGGAGACTTCCCAACGTGTCATGGACTCATGGTGTAATATTCTCGGATGCTTGCTCATGAATTTAGGGGTGCGCATCGGTGCGGTTCGGACCACATCGCACCGCATTGATATAAACCGCACCGCATCTTAATCGGACCGCACCGCTTGTTCGACCGCTAAGTTATCAGTGTGGTCAAACCAAACGGTATAGATTAGTGTTTGGTAAGGTTTAGATCGTGTTGTATTTTGAGCGCAATTCATTATGATTTATACAAAGTATCCAAAACAGAGCATGCCAAAATCGAGAACTTAATCAAGAATTGCTACTGCTGGAGCTGGTGGTGTAGAAATGTGTGATTTTTTTGTACATGTTATTATTTGGAAGGACCATTTTATATTTTGTCATATCTAACCCTAATACTTACGTGGAGTATAAGAGGGTAGGATTGTGAGCTTCGGATGATTAAGATAGTGAGTGCAGCGGACGAGATGTGGCTAATAAGATTGACTCGAGCTTCGGCTCACCGTGGAGTAGTCTCGTTCACATCGAACAAGGAAACCATGTATATCGTTGTGTTGTGCTTCCGCAGTTTATTTTATTTCACATGGTATCATAGCAGTATTCGATCCACATCTTGAATTTCGAGATGCATGGCAAGGACGAAAAGCAAGGCAAAGGCGACATGTCGATGACCTCCACGTGATACCTCTCACGTCACCTTTGTACCCGCATCCGTCCGAGAATCCTGGACAACTGTTTGGGAGTGATTTGCTTACAGATTCAAACTATAGCGAGTGGGTTAGCGATATGACATAAACCCTAATCGCGAAGAACAAGATGACTTTCGTGGATGGTTCTCTTCCGCGCTTGAAGGTTGGTCCTGACATCTTCGATGATGCATGGGGTCATTGTGATACCACCATTAAGGGATGTATGAAGACATCTATGAGCAAGGAGGTTCAAAACAACGTCAGGGGTGCGAAGACGACATGTGACATTTGGGCCAACTTGAAGTAGTGATTCGGGACTAGCTCAGCTACCCGAGCCTATGAGCTACGACGGATGATTACCTCATTTTGGCGAGACAAACTTAGCATGTCCGCCTTCTACACAACCCTACGGACGTACTGGAATGAATTACATGCAGTCAGTATCAACCCATGGTGCTCGTGCGGTTCTTGTACTCAGATCTTGAGCATGAAACCCGTGCCAACCCTCGCCAAGACTTACCAGTTGGTGTCCGCAGAAGAGCAGCAGCGACAGATCATAGGGGCACGTCGCCCACCTATGGAGGAAGCCGCCTTCCAAGCTCATAAGGAAAGGGATGCCGATGAAGAAAGCCCGCACTGCTCTCGCTGTCACAAACTGGGGCACTCCAAGGAAATGTTTTTTAAGCTTGTTGGTATAGCGGGTATAGCGGGTTTGGGTTTTAATGTCAACCCGGGTCCTAGATGTGATGACTACTTAGTGAATTCTAATTATTTAGCAGTAAAACTTTAGTGCAGGTCTAAACTAACAAACAAGCAAAACAAGTAAACGGTTGTTTTCAAGTCGAGAGAGGTCACCCGGATATGGTTCCCCCTAGACTGCAGTTAAGCCGGATTGCAATTTACCAAGTTCAGTTTTAATGATAGTTATACTGCGGGAGGTTCTTAAGCAGTCTGAAGTCTCGACTAAAGGTCTCCAGACCCTCTCAATCTGAGTCCCCAGCGGGCGACTAACCTCCACCGGAGTAAACAGATTGAGGCCCTAATGAACAAAACCTCCACTACCGAAGTGAATTCGGTACAGAATAGTGAGTTGGCTTCTCGACTAAAGTCGCCAATTCACTACCTTCAATTAAGGGTGCTCTATCAATCCTAGGCAGATATTCTCTTTCTAGGTTAAAGCAAAAACAACAGGAATTTGATCAGGATTCATGTCATTCAAATAATCAAACCTCAATTGAATATAATCAAATCATAAAAATCTGTACTTGGGTTCACACAATCAGACCTAACATACAAATCTAGGGTTCTCCATACCCAGATGAATGGGAAAACTACTCCATGGAGAGAGAAGCAAAAGCAGATTCAGATGCGGAAATCATATTGTGAAGGATGAGTTTCTGCTCCTGGTCGTCAATCGGCACTTCTCCAAGCTCAAGTCGGGCTCCAATGGTGATGAAGATCAAGCTAGGGCACTTGGGAACTCTGGTTCGTCGCTTTCTCTCTAGAAATCGCTCTATCTCTCTAAAACTCGGAACCCCTCTATTTTGGCCTTCTTTTCCCTTAAGAAGCTGAAGATCGTGATACCCGGTCGGGTATTTTGGCTTCCGACCGGGTATAATCAAAACGCACCGTCGGGGACAGGGAAAAAATCCCCGGTCTAGGCCAATAATCCCCGACCAGGGATTTATGCTTCATGACCGGGACCCCTTCTGTTTTGTCAGCGACGCCCAAAACGATAAATACCGGGTCTGCTCCAATTAATACCCGGTCGGGTATTTGAGCCCATGACCGGGTATTTTCCTCTTGCAGCACACTTCGACCCAACTTCGCTCCTTTCGACCCGAAACTCGTTTCTTCGTCTCGATTCCAACGTCGAGCCCTGAAATATGACATAAACGCACAACCTCGCGTGAAATCGGCTTAAAACACGAGAACCAACCTCTCAACCGGCTCAAGAATAGGGGTAAAAATAGGTGTAATTATTGGTCTATCACCAGCTAAGTGACGGTCTATACTATCTTTGCCGAGCTGGAGACTTTGAAGTTGCTGGTGGTCGGATACCTTCTGCTTTTGCAACGGTTGGGAAGAACTCCACGGATCTTTGGCATGCCCGTCTAGGCAATATGTTGCCTGAGAAGTTGTCTTATTTAAGGGTTCCATTACGGATTTTAGATTTTAGTCATGGACATCGTCATTATGACTCTTGTTTGTGAGCCAAACAAACTAGAGCACCTTTTGTTTCACATTCTATTTGTACTCGTGCATGTTTTGGGTTGGTACACATGGATATTTGGAGCGGTTATCGTGCCCCTTCTATGGATGGTTACTGTTATTTTTTAACCGTGGTGGATGATTATAGTAGATCCACATGGATTTATTTGCTCAAATTCAAACCGACGTCTAGCGCTATCTCTGGCTTTTCTGCCAAATGGTCGAAATTCAGTTCCATACTTATGTTCGACGTATCCAAGTGGATAATGGGCTGGAGTTCCAGACCCGGACACTACGTGAATATTATGAAACTTGTGGCATTCATCTCCAAACTAGCTGCATCGACACGCCTCAGTAGAATGGAGTTGTTGAGAGCAAACACAAACATTTGGTAGAGACGACTCGTGTGCTTCACTTTCATTCGGGGCTTCCTATACGGTTATGGGGCGAGTGCGTCGTTACCACCGGCTACCTGATCAACCGGCTGCCCATGCATATCCTCGACAATAAAACTCCCTATGAAGTTCTCATCGGTTGACCTCCACCTTATGCTCATCTTCGTAGCTTTGGATGCTTAGTGTACACCAAAGGCACACGTCATGGTCTCGAAAAGTTCGTCGAGAGGGGGAGACCTTGTGTGTTTGTCGGATATCAGGGTTCTCAAAAGGGTTTTCATGTTTATGATATTCAATCTCACATGATATATTCTTCAAGAGCATTCACTTTATTGAAAATGTGTTTCCATTGTAGGAGAGAGGAGCATCCCATGAAGCCGTGGAGAATACAAGGAACTTCGAGCAGCTTGTTGAAGACGAAGAAACCATGGAATTACCGATTGACATCCGTGCAAACCACGACGAGGAGGATGATGTCGATGAGAGCAATGAGAACCACAAGGATCAACAACATGAGGACAATCCGCAGCAGCATGACAGCAGCAATGGCACGTCCGTAAAAGAACCTGTTCGGAGGAGTGTAACTCGAGACAGACGCCAACCTCCCCACTTGGTGGATATATATGAGACTGAGTTGCCCGGGCCGCCGCATGGAGAGATAACGACAACATACCCAATGGCGAATTATTTGGGATATGAGCTCTTTTCGCCTGAGCATCGAGGATACCTTGCCGCTATCATTAAGATTGTGGAGTCC